AAGGTGTCTACTCCTCAGCATCCAGCTCACCTCACACTGACAGTGTGGGTCAGAGAAGGACCTAGCATTTTCCACCCAAACCACACAGGCAAGTGGGAACCAAGCTGAGCCTCTCCTCCGAGCTTCTGCTGTGAGAGGGAGAGGGAGAAATGACGGAAGCAGGGGGGCTCACGGAGACAGCCCACTCCTCTGGGGGTCCAGACACAGCACAGCCAGACCGCATTATGCAAACAGTGAGCCAGGAGCCAGAATGGAGGGAAGAGAGAGATGCTCACCGGCACAGCCCTCTTCTGTCAGTGACCTCCTGCCACACCCATATCTTAGCCACCAGATTGACTCAGTTCACAATGCACCAATGTGGACCATGGCTACTGAACATCTCCAAGCCCAGTGCTCAGGACTGTGGTAGCTATGGGAGAGACTGCTATACCTCCCCTACCTTCAACAACCTGTCAAGCCAACCGAGATGATACTCTTGAAGTGAGAGTAGGGAAGAAGACTAATCATCACATCTAATCATCACACCAGACTTGATAGGTCTGACTTCCCTGCACTAGCTGTCAAAAAACTTCTTTTCACAAAATCTACCTACCCTCCTAGGAAGCATGGCAAAGGACAATTTGGGGGATTGATGTGTGAACTCCAGATTGAAGATTCTTGAAAATAAGGGAAAGAACAAAGATGTCTCCTGTCCTTAAGAGAAATATAAATAGGAGAAGGGACTTGTCTAGAGGGAGGGGAGAATTCAATGGAGGAGTCTGGGCTTTTTCCTGAAACACTGGTTTAAGTTTGGCAGAGATGGCCATTTTTGAGGGCAGTATTTGGCCCAAGTTCCTTGAGAGAGAGGGAGCTATAAGCAAGTCTAAGGAGCCAGGGCTTTTCCTTTAGAAACCACAGCACCTAAGAGGAACAAATCCTCTGCCAATCAGAGTCCAACCAGACCTCCTCTGGTCCCTGCCAAATGGGGTCCCCAGACCCTGACACAAAGTCTGCACCCACAATAGCTATAGGAAAGCTTCCTGGTCTCCAATAAAAGTGCAGGTGCTTTAGAGACAGAGGGGACTGGGGCCCAAGTCATTCTATCTGGGAAATGACTCAACCTCAGAGCCAAAGATCATTGTTGCTAAGCCTTACGGCGAGCCCCCATGATCTTGCCATGTGGCTTCAAAAGCAAATAACTTATTTTCATTTCCATTATGATTATCATTCATCCTTGTCCATGCATGGTAAAATCTAAGCATTTGGGAAATAACCTAAATGTCCATCAATAGATCACTGGATAAAGACACAATGGAATATTATTCAGCCATAAAAAAGAAGGAAGTAATGCCATTTGCAGCAGCATGGATGGATCAAGAGATTATTATACTGAGTGAAGTAAGTCAGACAGAGAAAGACAAATATCACTCATATGTGGAATCTAAAATAAAATGATACAAATTCTGTTTACAAACCAAAAACAGACTAACAGAAATAGAAAACAAACTATGGTTACCAAAAGGGAAAGGAATGGGAGAGGAGGGATAAATTAGGAGTTTGGGATTAACAGATACACACTACCACATATAAAATTAATAAACAACAAGGGCCTACAAAATAGCACAAGGAACTATATTCAATTACTCGTAATAACATATAATGGAAAAGAATCTGAAAAGAAAATATGTATGTATGTATACGTATAACTGAATCACTCTGATGTACATCTGAAACTAACATTGTAAATCAACTACACTTCAATAAAAATTTTTTTTAAATCTAAGCATTTGGAAATCACACAGATGTGGATCCAAATGTTTACATGCCCTGGAGCAAGGTGCTTAGCCTCAGTTTCCTTACTGGTAAAATAGGGGTACTAATAGCACCTACTCCATAGTAATGTTGTGAGCTTTGACTTTGTTCATTGTGTATGAACCACCCAGCCCAGTGCCTGGCACAGGGACAGTATTAATAAAGGAGAGTTGTTCTAATTAGTAACTAAGGAATAAGCAAGACAGTATTAACAATGAGAAAGGAATCTAGAGTAAGGAGAAAGATGATGGCTGAGAAAGTCTTCACTTTCTCAGGTGGGGGCAGCTTTTTAAGGTAAGAAGAAAAGGAGGACTAAAAGTCAGAAAATATGGTGACCTGGTTATGTGGAAGACGAGCTAGGTCAGAATAAAGACAGTTAAGAGGCAGGATAAATGAGGCTGCCTTGCAGAAAGGACCCTGATCTCAAGCAGAAGGGTTGAACCAGCTACAGTGGGTCATAGGAGGCCCCTGCTGATGTCCAGGCTTTGGGCCACCCACCTTCACCAATGGACAATGACACACATCTTAGAATGGACTGTGACCCCCACCCCCCATTCTCTCTTCAACCCTCCTGCAGTAGGTAGAGCCCTTAGAACACTGTGCTACCCAAGCTCTGACTCATCAAGAGACAGGAGGATCCCCTAGGAAGCTGTGTAGGTCCAAAGTCAGAGCTCCTAGCAGGACTTATTGATTGACTCAAAAATAATTGCCAAGCTGCCTTTTCTACAACCCCAGCCCAGGGAGCGAGTGCGGCATCTTCTTCACTAACGACACAGCTCACCTTGAAATCCCACTCCTGGAGAAAGAGCCCATTTTTCTCCACCTCCAAAGAAAGCCTCCACATATTAAGAGAAACGTCCTGCAGATGAAGGTGCTCCGGAGGGGGCCGCCTTGATTAAAGCAGGTTGTTCTGCCAAGAAGTCTTGAATATGCTCTCTTGGTTTGGGGCTGTTAGTGCAGCACAGAGGAAGCAGGCGACATGAATTGTCTTTTATATAATTGGAAAACTCCCACCGAGTTTAGTAGCACTCATTTAGACAGGAAGATCAATAAAGGAGATGGGGAGCGGATGGCTGTGGAGATGTTGGAGACTAGATGAGCTGGTCCTCTATACATCTGCTTAATAAAGATTAACTCATCCTGGTTATAACACAAATCCAGACTACCCTCTTGCTCTAGACTGTTTTCAATGAGCAGACAATTCTTGGGAGCAATCAGCAAAAGACTCCTTCCCATGTTTTTGCTTTATCTGAATTCAAGAGCTCTGGTGGAAGGGAAGACAGAGGCAGAAAGGGGAGCTTTAGGAACTGGACTAGGATTTTTCTTCCATCTTCCCAAAATGGTATTCCCTTGACCCAAACTAAAGTGGAATAGAACAAAAATAAGAGATCCGCAGAAAAAGGATAGAAAAGAGACAAGAGAGATGATTAAGGAGAGATATCAGGCTTCCATGCTATTTCATATTATTTTATTGTGCATAAGTCACACTGCACAATAATGAACACATTCTGAGCTTCTGTGTTAAGAATTCCTCAGTTGAAACCCTCTTTTCTCCCTGTGTCTCTCTAGTCACTGAGTTAGGGGCTCTAAAATTTCTTCCTGATTCCCACATCACCCCTTTCGTGACCTTTTATCCATCTCTGTCCTTGCTGTAGCCCTCCCCACCTCCCCTTCCCCATCACCATCCTATACATAGGAGCCCACCTCTCATCTTAAACACAAGCTTTTGTTCAAGGCCACAACGACAAAGCTGAGTCCCTTCAAAGGAAAAAATGCTCTGTGGTTGAAGGTCCAGAAATAGAAGCGGGGTGTGTGTGTGTGTGTGTGTGTGTCCGCAAGTGCACGTGCATGCGTACACACGCGCACTTGTATGTGCGCTGGGCTGCGCACGTTTCACTTACACTGGGGAAATTTTGAGAAAGCTGGGAACCTGCTTTTGATTCATGTCTCCCTCCTTTGATTCCTGCAGAAGTTCCTCCCAGGGCAAGGACTGCGGGAGGGAACCTGCTGGCACTCAGCCTTAATAAAGGCCTTTTCTCTTGCACAGTCCTACAGCGAAGGCACAGGCTCATACCTGGGCCATGGGTCGGTTGCCATGGAAATGACTGCAAAGCCACAAATAAGACGGTATTATGTTCTCTCAGCAGGACCAGATGAGAGCCAGAACCTAAAGAGAGAAAAAGGAAGAGGGAGACAGCTAGACAGAGAAAGAGAATAAATACACCTTCTATCAATAACAAGCCAGAAGGGAAACACAAACAAAGCAAGGGGGTGATGGGGTGCTGCTTGGGAGAAGGCAGGTTTCAGACAGGGTGGGGCGAGAGTAGGGGAAATGGCATTGTTTCCTTTGAGGGAAGTCTCTCATTTTCAGAGGGAGGGAGGAAAACTCATTCCAAAGGAGCCCATGCACCTCCCTCTCTTCTCCTGGCTCTTCCCACTCCATCTTCATTGGGTAATTGTGCAACAAGCCTAGAAAGGAAGGATTGGGGCAATACAGAATGAGGCAGGAGGTGAAAGGTAAGTCAAACCATTTCTCTTTTCCACTCTGCCCCATGATGCAGAAAGGCCCTGCTCTGATTCTCAACAGAAAACTTAAGATTTTCTTGGTCCACTGCTCTCAAACAAATTTCATGCCAAACTTCCACCCTTCTAAAGAGCCATAAGCCCTCCAGGATCTCAGCACCCTTATTTAAGATTTTTCTCCCAAGCCAAGTATCTCTGGAGGGACAGTGATCACAATGTCCTCGTAAGGTCACTTTGTTGGTTTCCCCACTGTGGACAAAAGTGTGAGAATCAAGACCTAAATCTAGGCTCAACAAGCTAATAAAAAGCACCAAGTTTATTTCAGCTAAACCATGAGATTTTCCGTAAGGCAAGGAACTCTAAAATTCTGCCCTTGCCACGTTTTTTTTAATGGATGTGTATGTACAGCTTACAATAAGCACAATCCTTTTAACAAAACATAAAAAGTTTCCAAGGATCTCTCACTCCATTACCAAAATAACCAGATTTTCAAGAGTATTACAATCTTACACTCTTTCTCTGAGCCTCATTCTTGTTATGGTGGCCACTGCAGCTAGCTCTGCCTTGGTCTGGAGTCCAAACAAACTGAACAGCTTCTCTGTAATATGATTTGAGTATCACTAAGTCTTGCCAACCTAAAATTTTCTCCCCTATCAACTAATATCAGGACCTAAAACCCCATATTCATGTTATCCCTTTCCGTCTTTAAAAAATCTGTCTATTCAAAAACAAAGACGTTCTCTTTTCCAGTTTTCGCAGGGCAAGGCATCGTGAGCAGCAAGGTCTCCTGCAACACCCTGTACGAGACGGTGCAGCAAGCCCTGCACGGGAACCAGCGCAAGCGCCAGAAGTTTTTGAAGACAGTGGAACTTCAGATCAGCCTGAAGAACAATGACCCTCAGAAGGACAAACGCTTCTCGGGCACCGTCAGGCTGAAGTCCACTCCCTGCCCCAAGCTCTCCGCATGCGTTCTGGGAGACCAGCAGCATTGTGATGAGGCCAAGGCTGTGGATACCCCCCACAAGGACATCAAGGCTCTGAAGAAGCTCAACAAGAATAAGAAACTAGTTAAGAAGCTGGCCAAGAAGTATGAAGCCTTTTTGGCTTCAGAGTCTCTGATCAAGCAGATCCCAAGAATCGTGGGCCCAGGTCTGAGTAAGGCTGGCAAGTTCCCTTCTTTGCTGACCCACAATGAGAATATGGTAGCCAAAGTTGATGAAGTGAAGTCCACAATCAAGTTCCAGATGAAGAAGGTGTTGTGTCTGGCAGTGGCTGTTGGCCATGTGAAAATGACAGATGATGAGCTTATGTATAACATTCACTTAGCTGTCAATTTCCTGGTGTCATTGCTCAAGAAAAATTGGCAGAATGTCCAGGCTTTGTAAATTAAGATCACCATGAGCAAGCCCCAGCGCCTATACTAAGGTACAGCTTAATAAACCAGCTGCCACCAAAAACAAACAAACAAACAAAAAAAAAACAAAAACAAAGATGTTAGGACGATCTTCCCTAACTTCTCAATAATGTCTCAATGTGAATGTGTTTTCGGATTAGCCAAGGAAATGGAACATGGGATGGATAAATTCTGATGAATACAAATGGGGACAGATGTGAGTATTTCTTTCCCCCATTGTATGCATCAGAATCAATTCATCAGCATATTCGTAACTGTCCCCTTGACAGTCAAGGAAATGATACTATTTGGCCCTAAGGTATAAAGCTGCTTACTTCTGGGCCTTCTCAGGATGGGATCAGGAGCAGCCTCTGTCAACATGGAAGCACCAAGAGTTTCCAAACAGGTGAAAGAGCCTGAAGTTCTTTTCTCATCTCTCTGAAGATTCCCAGGCTGTCACAATGGCTCCAAACTACCCAGGGTCCTCACCCAAATCTACTTCTTTCCCTGCACTGTGGAGTGGGAGGTGGAGGGGTGAGCTTTGAACTAACTCAAGCGGTCAACTACAGAGTCTGTGGAGGATCCCAGACATAGAGCCAGCAGCCAGCCTAAGATCTCCCTAGGTCTCTGAGCAAACGAAGAGTAGAGAAACCGTTTTTCTGATTGGGACAGGTGATAATTTCATTCATCAAAAATTTAGCTAAAGCAGGGAATCATTAAAATAAAAGTGATGCATAACACCCTCAATAGTTTATTGAAACAAAATATAAACATGCTTTTTTCTGCTAACTTTTTATGTTGGCTTAAGATGTTTTCTTTGAATATTTGAACATTGGTAAAAGTTCTCCATCATTTTTCTTCAAAAGCCACGTTCATAACTCACATCTGCAATTTCCAGTTTCCATTTCTTTAAAGCAAAGGAAAATTTTAAGGACCATTATGCGGTAATTTGAACACAAAATCCTTCCAAATTTTTCTGTTCCCCTGCAATCATTTATAATTGTCTCACCCATACCTAATTCAATAGCAATTTTTAGCAACTCAAATTTACTGACTCTTTTCAAAGTATGCAATTTTGTTTTCATAGAAACAGCTCTCTTTTCATACCCAGTGTTCACTGTTTTACATACTATTTAATTAAATTACATAATTACATCAGTTAATGTAGTCAAATGGTTTAGTAGAGGGTGGTTTAGAGAGGCTCAATGTTATTTTTTCTTTGAAGGCAAACTCTTGTCCTAAGATATTTACCTGGCAAATCAGATATTTACGGAAAATCAGATTTTTAACATCCAAGGTCAATTATTATAGATTGAGAACTCTTTTTAGTTCCTCAGGATACAAAAATAATCGAGGAAAGGAGGGCCCTCTGGCATGAGAAGAGGAGGTCACCAAATCCTCTTCCCGAAAGCAACTAAAATAATGGACAATATTAACAAAATAGCTACATCAGGACCCTGGAAATCAACCAAAAGAATATAACAAACTGAGAAGATTTGCTCATAAGAAACTAGTGATTTTGGGGAAGAACAGTGGGAACTGCAACATACTTGCCTGGGGCTGATTCCATCAACCTCCCTCACCCTCTCAGATCAGTTAGCATAGTCATTCTAATAGAGGCAGCAAACTGTATTACCAAGTTTCACTGCCAGAAAGGGATGACTTAACTTGCAGCTAGAGTGAAAATCTGATACTCAGTGAATTATAAGCAGCAATCTCAGTGATGAACAAAAAAGGAAGGTCATTCATTACAACAGTCTGAGGTGGTGGTCCTATTTGGAGCAAACATCAGACTAGAGGACTAGCCAGAGATTTAATAGGGAAATACAAGAAATGAGCACTCACAGAGGCATCCAACAATCTTCCCACATATCTCTGGCTGATCTGGAGTTGGCATGTATGTACAGGAGAGACCAGAGGGAGCCTTACAAAGAGTAAATGCTAGGACACACTTTAAACTGCCTGAACTTTCGATGCATTCTCAAAACAACACACAGAGTCATCAGCACTGAGTGGAACACTTCCCAGTTAAAGATGTATGAACACAACCTCTGAAGAACCATTGGCTGGTCACTAAGCAATGTAGACATAAGGACAACCCCTAGGAAGCCAGGCTTTAAAATAATATATTGAGATATCAGTTTATATTTATTTTATTTATATTTTTAAGTGAGCAAAGAAAGACATCACCAGCCACATACCTCAAGGGAGACAGATTTCATAGGAAAGTTACTAAACAAACAAAAACCCTCAGGGGAAAAATCAGAATCCAGATTTGCTACTTTATGTTACCTAAAAATTTTAAGTTTTCAACAAAAAAAATTATGAGACACAAAAAGAAACAGAAATGCATGACCCACATGCAGGAAAAAAGCAGACAAAGAGAAACTGTCTGAGTTGTCCTCAGATGTTGGACTTAGCAGACAAAAACTGCAAAGCAGTTATTATAGGTATATTCAAAGAATGAGAGGAAATTATGTTTAAGGAATTAAAGAAAAAAATGAGAATAATCCAAAGAGACAACCTCAACAGGTTTTTTTTTTTTTTGGATTGTGGATGTAAAATGTACAGTTAACTAAAATAAAACATTCACTATAAGGCTGAACAGCAGATATGAAATAAAAGAAGAATCAATATACTTGAAGAGAGAGCAACAGAAATTACTCAATCTGGATTCCTCAAAAGTCTAGGAATAGACTTATCATATAATCCAATAATCCCGTTCCTGGGCATATATCCAGAAGGAACCCTACTTCAAAAAGACACTTGCACCCCAATGTTCATAGCAGCACTATATACCATAGCCAAGAAATGGAAAAAGCCTAAATGTCCATCAACAGATGACTGGATAAAGAAGTTGTGGTATATTTATACCATGGAATACTATTCAGCCATAAAAATTGACAACATAACGCCTTTTGCAGCAACATGGATGTTCCTGGAGAATGTCATTCTAAGTGAAGTAAGCCAGAGAGAGAAAGAAAAATATCATATGAGATTGCTCATATGTGGAATCTAAATAAATAAATAAATACATACATACATACATACAAAACAAAACAAAACAAAACAAAACAGAAACAGACTCATAGACATAGAATATAAACTTGTGGTTGCCAAGGGGGTGGGGGGTGGGAAGGGACAGACTGGGATTTCAAAATTTGTAGATACTGACAGGCATATGCAGAATGGATAAACAAGATTATACTGTATAGCACAGAGAAATATATATAAGATCTTGTGGTAGCTCACAGCAAAAAAAATGTGACAATGAATATATGTAGTTTATGTATAATTGAAAATTTGTGCTCTATACTAGAATTTGACACAACATTGTAAAATAACTATAACTCAATAAAAAATGTTAAAAAAAGAGATTATTCAATCTGAACAAAAGGGAGAATAAAGATTAAAGAAAAATTAACAGAGGCACAGAGACCCATGGGAAAACATCCAGTACACCAGCATAGCTGTAATAGGAGTTTCTTAAAATTCCTTAAAATAATGTCACAAAACTTGCCAAATTTAATTTAAAACATTAACATACAGAACCAAGAAGCTGAAAAAATTAGGAGAAAATCTTCATGACCTTCAGTTAGGCAATCAGTTCCTAGATATGACACCAGACATGCTTTCATAAAAGAATAAAATGATAAATTAGATTTTATCAAAATTAAAAACCTCTTCCACTTCAAAAGATACCTATAAGTAAGTGAAAAGAAAAGCCACAAACTGGGAGAAAATATTTACAAAGCATGTATCCAGATATATAAGATTCTTAAAGCTCAGTAACAAGAAGACAATCCAATTTAAAAATGGGGATTGCATTTAACATTTGTGCACTGTATGTATGTTATATCTCAATAAAAAGGTTTATAAAAAGAAAAAAGAGAGAAGAAAAAGAAAAATGGGGGAAAGATTTGAATACTTTCACAAAAGATAAATGATTAATAATCATGTGAAAAGATGCTCAACATTTTTACTTATTAGGGAAATGGAAATCAAAACCACAATTAAATACCATTACACACCCACTAGAATTTCTAAAATAAAAATTAAAAAAAAACACCAGTTGTTAGTGAGGATATAGAGAGACCAGAACCCTCAGTCTCTTAAAATGTTGAACGTACATTAATTAGCCAAATGAGTTAGCATTTCCACTCTCAGGAGTCCAACCAAGAGAAATGAAAACATATGTCCACAAAAAAATTGTGCACAGTTTGTTCATAACAGCATTTTTCATAATAGCTAAAAGCTGAAAGCATCCCAATTAGTTAAATGAATAAATAAATTGTGTTATCTCCATACTCTGGAACTGTATTCAGAAATAAAAAGGACCAACCGCTGATTCTCCCTATAACAATCACAAAATCATCGTATTAAATGAAATAATCCCAATACAAAAAATGTATCACATGAAATGTCCAGAAAAGACAAATTTATAGAGACAAACACACCAGACACATTGGTTGCCTAAGACTGAAGGTGGGAGGAGGATTGACTGCAAACTGGCACAAGGGAATATTTTAGAGTGAAATGTTCTAAAACTGCTCTGTATAATGGCTGCACAAACTCTATACATTTACTTGAAAGCATTGAATTGTAGACTTACAACAGGTGGCATTAATGTATGTAAATTATACCTTCAAAACACTATTTTAAAAAATGAGACCTATTTCCCCATCTAATGGTGTAAGGAGAGAAATAGCAATAACCAAGACCACTGTAAGTTTCATAGCAGTGACAGATCTAAGGCCTCTGGGAACATACAGGATGGAGGAGTCAGTGAGCAAGAAGAGGGAGATTAGAAAAGCTTTATGAAAAAAGTGATGTAAGAGCTGAGGCTCTAAAAACACCCTTAGTTTTAAAAAAAATTACATGAAGTTTAAGTACAGTTTATCCCAGACGTAAAAGGATAGTTCAACATAAGAAATGCTAGCAATGTACTTGATGTCATTAATAGACTAAAAGGAAAAGAATAATATGCAATTATCTCAGCTGGTGCAGGAAAGGAATTTGATGAAGTCCAGCAACAATTCATGGAGGGGAAAAAAAACCTCTTGG